TATCATATTAAAGAAGAAAAAAAGGTGTTTCCGAAGTATAGCCTTCGGCGAAAAACTGTATTATCGCATAAATGTCATAATACGATCGGAGCGCAGAAACAATTGTCAGTATTAATTCAATATCTCGATATGTTGACATCACGGTACATTTAACATTACGATAACATTTTTTTTCTGCTGCATTATATGTAGGATAACAAAATGCAGACTTCGGATTTGTGAGTTAAAGCGTAAACAAGAACGGAAATGAAACTTCCAATAATGGTTGGGCGTTACGGAGTGAAACGGCGACGAAGTCGCGGTTCAACCTACCGCAAATTCGTCGGGCCATGTGTCCGAGAAATTTGATTATTTTCTCAACCCAATTAACAGCCATCATTTGGTCTGTGATACTTTCCAAGAGGAAAACGGTTAAAACGAATCTCGTCATAGATCGTTAAAATGTTTTTACGACCCTAGCTGAGATTTCGCGTTTTACACGTGGAAGTATTCTTCGTCCGCAAAGAAATGCGAGAATGACGAATATTATGCTGTTGGAAAAAATCCTCCGTGAAAAATCTGGTATTGTAAAAATTTTATTCACGCTCTACGCATTAACCGTATCATTTGATACGTTTTATTTATATTCAATTACGGAGTCATCTAAAGAAATTTATTTATTATATGTAAAGAAATATATTATTTTATTTAACGCTTTAAATAGAGGAATTAAATAAACTTTTAATTGCAAACTGTTGCGCAAGAAGATTTAAAAAAATGTCTAAAATATTTTTCTATTACAAACTTGGAATTCACAAGTCACGCAGTCTAAAATGTGATTAGATCATGTCAAGATCTCCTGCGTTACGTCATCTCCAGAGCGGATCTATAAATATTCTCGTCCTACATTTTCTTTGAAATTGATGTATAAACTGATGTCAATTTAAGATATGCAAACAAATATTTTTAGAATATAATTACAATGCAATAAAGTGAGAGTCGCATTTATTGCCAATTATTTTATTTTAAAAAATAGCTATCACAAAAAGATAAATCAACGAGAGGCGAAGATTACAGGTAACGGATACAGGAAGTTTAATCAAACGCGCAAAAACAGAGAATACCGGTCCTCTGGCAACGCCTACACATATGTACAAACATTTGTCTATGCTTCAAATAAAAAGCGTGAAAGCTGGTAGACCGTTTATTGCATGTGCAACATTAAAACTTACATACATTCTCCGTGTTTCTTTTTCATTATTTTTTTTTCATAGGTTTTATCTGCAAATACTTGATATACGATATATGTATATTTTTTTATTTTTTTTTAAATCATTGCAAGTGTGTTTGATTATCCGTTTCGTGCAAACGTCGAGAAGCGCAATTTTGCTCGAGTCACGCTCGTTTTCCGATAACCGATGTTTCTCCAATGAGAAACTCGACTACAATCACAGATACCAGAAAAAGAAAGTAATTTCCTTCAAACTGATATTCAGGAATAAGTAAATCTAAAGAGAAATATATCGCGAAATGTCCAACATACATGTAAGCTGTGTTATTAGTCGCGAGAATATCATCAATAGATCTGTAATAATCATAGAAATTCATATCCAAATGAGATGCAGTATTATTGGTAGCCCGATGCTAGTAACACAATGCATTGCTTTCATGGATCTACATTATGCAATGTGCTCGATGTATTAGGAATTATAGAGAGTTAGTTTCTGCACTCAGAGATTTTATCATGTATATCAGTTTGCTCAGTAACACAACTAGTGGAATGTTACTAAATCATATATGATCCAATGGAATTAAATCCGCTTGAGTTACAGGCTTATCTTAATTTTCGCTATATTCTTTACGAATCAACAAGAAAATAAATATATCAGGGATAAAAATCAAATTATTAAAGAATAATATTTAATTTTTGAAGAGACGACACTTTATTGATCTTGTATCTAAAATTTTGAGGAAAATGCGGTTTTTCATCTTTCCAATTTCGCTTGGATTTAGTTACGCTGTGATACTACAAACGCAAAGCTTCTCCGAGTTTCGGTTTCTATCAAAGATGTGGTTTTTCATATCTCCGACATTATTTCGTTATTTAGTCACACTGTAATGCTACGGATAACGAAATAGAGATATATAACTGAGTTAATGATGTTTCATCATCCCTCTCAAAACGTTTACCTGTCCGTAGGTTCTAATCCTATTTCATCCCACTCTACCTGGTCTTGTTTACAGCCTTTAAATTTAGATTGGATTTATGGCAGACAAGTTATAAATCCTTTCATCATACACTGTCACTCGCAGAACGTTACATGTATATAGAGCATTCGGGGTATCGAACGCTACCTTTAACATCGTGTCACTTGGATGAAAAGAAATGTGTAAGAGAAAGAGAAAAAGAGTAATCGTGAAATATCAACATTATAAAAATAAATACTTAATACAAGTACATACGCAACGATTTTTAAAGAATGCGGATGCGGGAAAAACATTTCTGACTGATCAATTTTCAATCAGAAATGTTACGATTACCCTTTCGCTTTCGTTGCGTTACCTTTTCACATAACTCGCCATCTTCACGTCACAGTTATCCTTCCATAAAATTATATCTCAGAGTTTACAGTGGCACATGGCAAAGACAGGTCGAAATTGTGAAATGATATAGTGAAGCAAAACACGGAAAATAGCGTGGGCCATGGCCAACTAAAGTTTTCGAAGCAAGAGGTAGATAGCTATTATCGATCGTATAATCAACGATAATTGTACTTCATGTCTTGTAATTTTTTCTGTAATAATTGATATCTCTCTCGACGATCTTAATTATTATTTCAGCTTTTATTAAGATTTATTGTGATTTCAGTCTTTCATCTTAAAGTTATCAATGTTTTTTTTTTTATCAAGAGAAACAGCCGTGATACATTGATGGTACAAAAGATTTAGTTAGCAATTTGTCAATCCCCGTATCGGAGGATTAATCCGTATCCTTGCTTGAACTGATATCCTTGCACGTAGCCAATGGCATATCTCCTCTGTGTGAATTGTGTGAAATGTTTCGTAATCGATTAACGGCCAGCAAATATATATCTACATATATGAAAGATTACGCCTATGTGTTCTAACGCGTTCCATGAAGCAGCAATACAGCGATGCTCATTGAACATTTGAAACTGTATCGTAAATTGTAACGATCTGTGTGTAAAGTGCTCTCTTATAGGATTACAAATTTCAAAAGAGCACTACGAGTAATACGTTGACAAACAACTTTGTGCGCACAGCACTTTACTTTACAGACGCGAAATATAATCTACTGGATAAATAGGATTTAGAGGATACAAACTGATTAAAGAGGCAAGTTGTCGAAAGTTGGTTTATATTTTGATTAGTTTTCAAGAACATTTCAAGAAAATGAAATAAAGCAAATGAGAAATTCAAGAGTTCATTTCTGACACGTGTCACCCAAGTTGCAACTGTTTGCAAATAGCTATTATGAAATAACGCAACATGGAATAACATAAGCTGTTACTGAAATTTTTTATAATATAAGTTTTTAATAGCACAAGAAAAATAATATAAATAAAGATAATATAAAATAGTATAATATGAAGAAAAATAACATAAATACATTTTTACAATCGCGTAAATTTGCTTACACTATTTATATATGTAAAATTTCGTTTGCTTTACTATAGCAATAGAAAGTGTATTTATTTAATTAATTTTCAAACTTCATATTCTACTGTAGACTTGTAATTGAAACAAATTCATCGATTTTTTGGTGCATAAAAAAAGATTTTAAAAAAATTAATTTACATGAAAAAATAATAGATTTCAAAAAAAGATCTTGAAACTCAAATGAAGAAGCAAAAAAAACTTAGAACAAACGAAGCGGGCAAAATCTAATACTAAACTATATCAATTAACAAAAGTATAAATTCCAAAACTCAATATGTACGAATGTATAAAGTATAAATATGATAATTAAGAAAAAAGTTAATAAATATATTAATTAAAATGTTTTAATAAATATGTTAATTTAAAAATGTAATAAATATGTTAATTCATAATTAATTTGAATTAAAATGATTTTTACGTGCAGTTTCTTTATTTTGTCTTAATTTACGGCCACTTTATCTCATGTGATTTGTCATTTTATCTTGATAATAGATTCTCAATTATCTATCCTGTTTGATTCTTCTAAAAAGTTTGATCTTTCTAAAAAGAAGTTCCATTTGGAACAAAAATTAAACTTTTAATATTTAAATAAATATCGTTTTCGTCGCTAATAAACTGTAGTTTGATTATGCAAAAAAAAAATAAAAAAGAACAAAATGTGAAAAATATTTTATCTAATTTCTTCTATATATTATTCGTTAATTTTTAAATAATACATACAACTTATGTGTGTGTAACACGCATATTTGTCGGAATATCTGTTTTATGCGTTAAATATCGGTTGCATTAAGTAGTAATAAATTGCAACATCACGTCGGACTTTTAATATTTCAATAAATATCGTTTTCATCGCTAATAAACTGTAGTTTGATTATGCAAAAAAAAAATAAAAAAGAACAAAATATGAAAAGTATTTTATCTAATTTCTTCTATATATTATCCGTTAATTTTTAAATAATACATATAATTTATGTGTGTGTAACACGCATATTTGTCGGAATATCTGATGTTTTATGCGTTAAACATCAGTTGCGTTAAGTAGTAATAAATTGCAACATCACGTCGGGCTTAGTTGATTATAATATTATAAAGGATTATCATCTCACAGTCAATTTAATAAACCTCCAATTATGGAATATTTATTCACAGAGTTTATAATCCATGTTATTATCGACTTTGTGTGTTTACATGGTATTTTATACGTTTATTCAATTGTACTTATATATTGAAAACGGAGCTTTTCCGCGTCCACAACCAACGATAAATAAACTAGTTTCAGCTTTTTGTACGTAAAAATATTAAAAATCTCATTAACGTTTCTCTTTATTTTACAGCTGATGCACCTAACTGTCACTGGCATTGAACGCTCTGTAATTTCGATAACGGAAAAAGGAAAGATCAAAATGCAAAGAGGGTCATATTCTCGTTAACGGCGGAAAAAAACGTTGGAATTGAAACGAAATGGCAATGTCGTGGCCATACGCGACAAGTGCCTCGCCATTCGATGCCTCGATTACGATGTTGATGACGACACGATTAACGCCGTTGGCACTAACGCCAAATTATACAATGGAAGCCAGTGACTTTGCTGGCAATATCACGAGCGATACCAACGGGCAGGAGCAGAAATACACACCGTACAGCGAGCGACCAGAAACGTATTTCGTGCCGATCATCTTTCTTTTGATCCTGCTAATCGGTCTCACGGGAAATGGCGTGCTTGCTCTTACGATCCTTCGACACACAAACATGAGAAACGTACCTAATACGTATGTCCTCTCGCTGGCGCTTGGGGATTTATTGGTACGTAACATT